GAAGCAAAGTGAAGGGATAAAAGGGGCGTCACCTGTTTTCTGTGACTGAGTTTGCTTTGTATCCCACCTTGGGTCATCACAATTCCTTTCAATTAAAGTGCCATGGATAAGAAATTCTCAGCTGAGAAGAAAAATATTAGGCATACTTTCCCCATGATTGGGACATACAGAAAATCCATTTATCAATTAAATTCAGAAATTTAAAAAATCCTAAACTTAATTGCCATTAACCCTCATATTCCTTTAGCTTGTGAATGCTAAACATTACTCTGGCTCAGCAATTACATTTAGAACATGTTTTCATAGATTATGTCCTCCTTAATTTAAACTTCAATGTAGGAGAGTAAATTTCAAGGGGGAAGGGATTATAGTTAGGTTAACTCTCCTCATTATATTTAATGGGAATAAAATGTAATAGATAATAAATAGATGTAAATAGGTAATTTTCTTGCCAGGGAAGTTCTTTTCCTAAGTGGCATCCTTCAGGGTCTCTTAGTCAATTTTTGCAGATGTTTTATTACCAAACGAGGTAACATGATCAGTGCTAGTAGGTGCTAGGTGTGGGTGGGATTTGTTCTCATTTTATATACTACTACTGGCTTGCCTGTTGGTGGAAGTGGTCTTGATGGTTCCTCAATTGGGCTGTTGTTTACTGTTGGCTTGTTTGTCTGAGTTGGTAGTTCCTTGATGGGGGTATTGTTTGCTTCTTGATTTTTGGTCTAATGTTGATTTAATCTTTTTCCTATGGTCAAAGCACATTCCCCCCTTTTAAAAAAACTGCCTTCCTGTTAAAAGTATAAAGTGCAAAGGAAAGGTCTTATATTGTTAAACATGTGTATGTGTGTGTATACACATACACTGTTTAGAGCAGGGGTCGCCAACCTTTTGGACCTCAGGGACCACCAAACTCATAATTTTAGATCCCAGAGACCACTAATTGGTTCTGTGGGCGTGGCCTAATTTGTGGGAGTGGCTTGGTGGTCATGTGACTGGCTGGGCATGGCTTGTATGTAAATATTATAAATATTTATATAAATATTGATTTTTTTATAAAAAAGAGCAACTTTTACTGAAAATCAGGCAAAGCAGGCAGGCAGATTGAGTTGCTCACAGAATCACAGATTCATTCAGAAATCTATCTATCTGCCATTGGCTAGCTCAATCTGTCACATAAAATTTGCTTGTAAGCAAACTCATATAATTTGCTAGAAATCAAACTCACAAAATTAACTCACAACACACCATGCATGTAAATATTGATTTTTTTTATTTAAAAAAGAGCAACTTTTACCCAAAATCAGGCAAAGCAGGGAGGCAGATTGAGTTGCTCACAGGAACACAGATTCATTCAGAAATCTATCTATCTGCCATTGGCTAGCTCAGTCTGTCACATAAAATTTGCTTCCAAACAAACACATAAAATTAACTTACAACACACCATGCATGTAAATATTGAATTTTTTATTTAAAAAAGCAACTTTTATCCAAAATCAGGCAAAGCAGGCGGATTGAATTGCTCACAGAATCATTCAGTGATCTATCTAGCTGCCATCAGCTAGCTCAGTCTCTCAAATTTGCTTGCTGTGAGTCTGCACTAAATTTGCTTGCAAGGAAACCTTCAGTCCTAAGGGAGGTTCCGCTGTGCTTAGCTAGAAAGCAAGAAATCCAACCATTTCCTGCTTCCTAGCTAATCTAAGTCTCCCGGCACAGCAGAACAGATGGTCAGAAAAAGGAAAAATAGCAACTTAGCAGACAAGTTTGCCGGGTAAGGAGTGAGTGGGCGGGGAGGGTTCCCGCGGGCCATGTGGGCTGAGCAGCCTTGTGTTTCTGCGCAGCCTGGATTAATTGCTTTGGGGGGGGGTGCTCTGGGGGTGAGATTTCTCTGCGGCCCACCAAAATTTTATCACGGCCCACCAGTGGGCTGTGGCCCACCGGTTGGCGACCACTGGTTTAGAGTAAAGAAAATGCACTTTAAAGAGCACTTCCGAGTTTTAAAGAACAAAAAAATTGTGTAACAAAAAAGTATGGCAGACCTATTATTCCAGTCCATCCCTTGTGAAGGCAGCATGCACACACTGCCAATCGTTGCTAAGCTACAATTCCCAGTAGTCGTAGCTGGCATGCAAGGATGAGAGATGCTAGTGCTGTAAAATTTATGGACTCCATTTCAATTTGGTAGATGACAGCCTGAGAAAAGCAGCAAATAATCAAACCCATCTAAGGAATGTAGCCTTCAATGAGAGAAGACCAGTTTGAAACCAGATCAAATGTGGAAGCCAGCCAATGGGTGAAAATTGCAAAACTGACTTGGTCCAATAACAAGTGAGAACACTGCTGAATGCAGAGAGTAAAATAAACTGTTACGTTATTGGACTCTGTTACATTTGTGTAGCAAAGGGCTGTAAAAAATAGCATTTTTGTTGGAGGTATAATAAGTACATGCTTCTTTAAAATATATGTTTCAAAATGTCCTATTCTTACCAAGTTTCGGGAAAAAGCAGTGGATTATATAGATACTGTAGGATTGTGTCACAAAAGCTAACATTTTCAGAAGTCTTTTGAACAACTTTCCTAATACATGGGATTTGACAAGCAGACATTGTAAATAGATTTTCATGCCCTTCCTATGGCTAAAACACTGATATTGCAGAACTGGGAAGATAAATGTATGTGTCCATTTCTTCAAAGGCACCACTTGCCATTTATGAGAAGTTTACATAGAGAGATAGACTTTGTATATAATAAAATATGGGACTCATTTATACAGAATACAGTAGATTAAAAAATATAATCATATAAATGTATTTTAAATATATACACATTATATATATGCAGTAAAAAAGCTGGAACACACTTCCTCACTAGTCCAACACATGAAAGCAACAGGTCATAGCATCAACTTCAATGGCACCAAAACCCTAGCCACTATAGAAAACTCCAGCCACAGAATTATCAGAGAAGCCATAGAATTGAAAAAAGACCTGAAAGCATGAATAGAAGAGATGATTCCACCAGACTGTCAATTATTTAGAAGTCTGCACTCACAAACAAAAAAAATCTCCACACCACTAGCCGGGCAAACACCTGGGCACAAACAGATCCCCCCTGATACCTCCAGCTCAAACACACCCCAACCAGGCACCCAGATGAAACCTAGCTTCCTAATAAATGATAGCCAACCATTTACTCAGAGCCAAGCTGCACTAAAAGCCTCCAATACAGGAACACAATGTTGCCAGCCAATCAAGACAAAAAAGCCACTAAACAGACAGAAGATATTAGAAACACCAATTAAGCAGAACACAGCAAACTCCAAGACCAATAAACACAGACCAAGACTCCCAACCAATCAGGATGAAGAAAAAACCATTCTGGCACAGCAGTAGGCTAGCCCCAAATTTAAAACTGAAACGGCTGTGAAAGTCTGACTCACAGACGAACACAATGCAGAAGCCTGATGATGGCAGATGAGATTCTGCCGAAACGTTGCTACAACTTTAAAAGCACAACTATAATGACATGGAAAAATACCCGAACAAAGCTGAATACCATATATATATATATATGGATGGAAGCCAAAAAGAATACACATACACACTTTTGGCTTCCTAATTTAAAAAACTTCAGCTACATAACTTCTCTTCTGCTGGGAATATAATCTAAAATTTGATTAGTCTCTCCACAAATAATTAGCTGTATGTACTGAAATCTTTATACTATATAGCTTTCTATAGTTCTGATTGATTAATCAAAATTCACTTAATTGCGGTTTTTCTAGCCTAAGGTCCTGCTCAGCACATACATAGATCTTGTTTAAGCATAATTTAATTTTTTTTTCACTAGATGGTGCTATTTCGTTGCAAAAAAAATATCTTAACTTCATAAATCAAAATTCATTTAAATTAGGTCCTCTTGTTCTATTGCTTTGAGAAGCTGATCCTCATTACCAAGATAAAGCCACTGGACAGTCATTTGTCTAAATGGTATTAAGCCTACTGCTTGATTAGAGAGTTGGACTAGATCCCTTCCAACTCTTATTGTTCTGTTCTATTTCTATACATCTATCTATGCATCCATCCATCTATGCATCTATCTATCCATCCATCTATGGATCCATCCATCCTTCCATCTATCTATCGTCCATTTCCATTTAGAGTCCATACTTCTGATAAAGAAAGGCGGATAACATGTCAGCTGATTGAAAAATATATATTTAAAAGACGTCTTTGTATATCTGCAGCGTCCATTTCCTCACCAGTTCATAATCAAAGCCAGCATGAGTATTTCTGCAATAAAGCTACAGATTTCTTTTTAACAAGGCAGAATGCTGCATGGTTTCCCGAAGGATTGCGCCAAACAGAAGCTACTAGACCAGGGGTGTCCAACCTTGGCAACTTTAAGCCTGGAGGACTTAAACTCCCAGAATTCCCCAGCCAGCTTTGCCAAGGTTGGACACCCCTGTACTAGACTATAGAGAGATCCAGCTTTTCGTCTCGTGCATCAGTGCTGTGTTAAAAGAAATTGCTTCCGCAGCCATACAATACATGCAAAAACTCTCAAGAGATTTCCTGACTGTTGTCTTTATTCACTATTCGGTATCTGATGAGAACCAAGCTCCCTGTGCTTAATCCAGCACTTTCCCGGCTTCTGCTGTCTCAGAAAAATAAGTAGGAAATCAGACTTTTCAAAAATGGACAGGGAGTTCCATTAATTTACAGCACAACTGTAGACAAAATGAAACGCAAGTAATTACAGCACTGACTGAACGCCGCGATTCTATAGCAGCTTATCTAGAAACAACCGCACTGAAGTCAAACTTGTCTCTGATTAAACAGAAACGCGACCAATTCCTCTCTTTTCCCCGACAACCGAAAGAACCCCTCCGATTGGGTCTCGCGAGATTTCCTGGCTTTTGCATTGAGCGCCCGGAGGCAGTCCTTCCATAATTCTCGCGATATTTGTGAAGACTCGCGAAGCGTTTGTTGGGGTTTGATTTAGCCTTGTTGAATTCACTATGGAGAGGGGGGATAACGGAAGTAAGGACTGGAGCCGGGGCACTGTGATGGTGATTTGCGATGAGTTTTAGTCAGACCCTGTGAAGAAAGTGACCTACAGTCATCTCCCCCAGTCTTTACCCGCTTAGGATGGAGGCGAAACGGAAAGAAACGCGCAAGTCTTTGAGGATCAAAGTAATCTCCATGGGTAACGCCGAGGTTGGCAAGGTAAAAAGGGTAGGAATAGAAGCAGAGGCGTCTTATTGGTCCGAGGCAGGTGAACGACGAGCTGGCTAACCAATGAGGTCTCTTTGCTTTATTAGGTCGTTGTGACTCTAAAGACCGTTTGTGGAATAGAGTGTTGTGGTTTATTTGGTCCGGAGAGGTGGAGGAGTTAGATTAAGCTGGAGTTTCCAAAATGTTTTGCTGTGTATTATTAATTTTTATTTTATTTATCAAATTTATATGGCCGCCCATATCAAAATACTCGGGAGCATCATAAAACCAACAAAACATTAAAAATAAATAAATAAAAACACTTAACATTAAATGGATACAACCTGCTCTAGGATCTTTAAATGATATGGATTATTCCACTACATTTATCCACGTGTAAAGTCTGCAAGATATGTTAGGTGAAGGCAGTGGCAACTTTCTTTCACGTGTTTTCTATCTAAATCTTTTAACATATTTTGGCTGCAAATATCCAACACAATCACCAGGAAGCAGCAAAGAAACACAAAACAAAATTCTTGGCTGCCATCGACTAGTCATGCAGACTGGGATTCTTGCAGCCCAGATAGCCAGTGGTGAAGATTGAAAAAAAGATTCAACATACTAGAAATCTTGAAGCAGGAAATAGTCCTCAGATAAAAACACTGTGGCTTAATATAAAAATAAAAAATGGTAAACAGCTTCTCATTTAAGAGACTTGGCCAAAAAAATGGTTTTATTCATTGTTTCAATGGTTAATTATTTAGCCTGAAGGTTAATGGCATAAAAGTAAAATTTATGTGATGCAATACAACAAGTAACAGTTATAAATCCATCAAATCAATAAATAATAATAAATTGTGTCAAATCTGACATAAGCTCCTCTTAAAAGCTGAAACCATATAATCTGGGACTCATAACGGGGGTGATTTGGCTGGACTCTCAAGATTGTTATTTTTAATTTTATTCTGCTCCTATTCAAGATATTAGATCTTTATTGTCCATAATTTGTAAGAGTAGTTATTCTAAATTTATCTGATATAAGTGAATGATCTTAAATCTGATGTGTGTGCAGAAGATACAACACTGGATACTGTTAGAATTGAAAAATGGGTCCTGTATGCAGATATGTACCTTACTTACTACCTAAAAGTATAGAGAGATGGACCTAGTTGTACTTCTTAGATTATTGGTAGAATTATCTTTCTCAGTCCAATGCTCTTCAGATGATTTCTACCTTTCCAGAAGGCTGTGAAAATGTAATCCAGGGTACTACTAATGTAACTCTGATGTGGATGCCGGCATATTTGTTAAGTTTCTGCTAGGATTTTTTTTAGGAAACTTGACTTCATAATTTTTATATAGTGGATTCTTGTTTTGTTCTGTTTTTCTCTGTTTGCCGACTGGAGTGTTTAGTAGATGAACAGTCATAAAAAAATTACATAAGTGAAATACATAAATAAAAAATTAATGATTGGACTTCCCTGTCTCAAATGTACCCTGACTACAAGCATTAGCTTGCAATGCTGCAGTCTCTATTGCACGTACTTTATTTTATGTTTATTTCCTATATTTTCTAGCAATTTAAAATTAAATTAGGAGCCCCAGGTTCAAGGTTTCTCTCAGGCAAAGAAGGCAGGTGGGTGATCGTGGGCCAGTTACCAACCTTCCATGTTTCATCATACACTGATAGCTCCATTATGTGAACTGAAGTGAATGCAAAGAAATAACCAGAATTTACAACAAAGGGAAACAACAGCTGGGAACAACACATACACACACATTTTTAGATTTTTATTGTAAACGAGTAATTTGAATAGACAGGAGATAATATAAACGTTAATAACAATGTAATTCAGCAGAAAGATGTGAGATGGCAGACTCTGCACTGCACAGTTTCTTAGTATTCATGCACATACATTTTAGTGCTTCACAAAATTTTTGTAATTGTGGTTCAATAATAAACATTAATGGGGATCACTCTATTAAACAAATACTCAGCCTAGTCTTTTAAGAGCAGGGCAGCCAGCAAATAAAATAGTTATTACAATTTCACTTGTTTGTCCTTCTAATCCCATTTATTTTAATTATGTGAGTTCATGTGGGAGTTGTTGTCTTTTATGTTAGGACTGTGCAGAGATCTGGATTTGTAGAGGAAAGGTGATTCAGAGCTATGTGATCCTAGGAAGGCACATTTGATTTAAAGAGGTGCCAACAGATGCAGTCTACATGCGTGACTGGAATCCCTTCAGATCCGGGTCACTGACCAGGCGTATTGTATTCATCTTTATCCTTCATTGTTTTAGCCTTTCAGAATCTTATCCCTTCCAGAAGTTTTGGATTAGAACTCTCATGAGCACAACTGGCAGGGCCAGTGATTGGTAATGATGGCAGTCCCAAAGGTGCTTCTTCCAGAGGCAGGATCTGAAGAAGCTTCTTGGATGAGAAGTGAAATGTCTTCAAAGAAAAACCAGAAAGTCCAGTGGCCTCTGGAAAAACACCTTTGGGACAACTATGACCTGAATGATTTAGAATCTCAAGTTAATGGTCGCAGTTAGCAAAGACTAGTTTAAGACATAGTCATTAAACGTTATTTAATAATTAAGTATTTTACTTCACTCTTCAGCTAAAGAATATTCCAATATACAATGTCCTCGGTTTACAACAATTCATTTAGCAGCCATTCAAAGTTACAACGGCACTGAGAAAAATGATTTACAACTGTTTTTAACACTCACAACCATTGCAGTATCTCCATGGTCATGTGATCAAAATCCAGATGCTTGGCATATTTATGATAGTTACAGTGTCCCAGGGTCAAGCAATCATTTTTGTGACTTTCCGACAATCAAAATCAATGAGGGAGACAGATTCACTTCACAACCGTGTTACTCACTTAACAACCGTGACAAGAAAGGTCATAAAATGGGACAAAACTTCTTTACAAACGTCTCGCTTAGAAACAGAAATTTTTGACTCAATTGTAGATTGAGAACTAGATGTAGATTACAAAGACCAATAATATAACCGTCCCCCTGCCCCTTTTTATTGTCTGGAAGACATTATAGAAAGAAGAGCAAGCAGTGAAAAAACAAAACCAAACATTCATTATTTATATAGTGACAAGTTGGAATAGAAATAGTTGCTTATCTCAGGCTTGCTGGAAGAACAGTCCTGCTTTCCTCTCCCCCACCCCACCCCATCCCTGTAGAATGGCTTCTGCCAGATAAGGGTTGAATGAGAGAAGATCTCTGTTTTCCTTCGGTTGCTTTGCCATAGTCTCATTTTTAGACATGAGCAGAGTAAAAATGATGAATGGCTCAGGGTAGTTAATGAATCAAGCAGGTTGGCTGGATTTGGGAAGCTGACTGATTGGCTGTATTTGTCTTTTGAATGTACAGGTAGTCCTTGACTTATGACTACAATTGAGCCCAAAATTTTTGTTGCTAAGTAAAACATTTGTTAAGTTAATTTTGTCCCATTTTACGACTTTTCTTGCCATAGTTGTTAAGTGAATCACCGCAGTTGTTAAATTAGTAACATAGTTGTTAAATGAATTCAGCTTCCCTATTGACTTTCTTTGTAAGAAGGTCACAGCAGGTGAACACATGTCTCCAGGACACTGCAATTGTCATAAATGTGAGTCCATTGCCATGCATCTGAATTTTGCTCGCGTGATTGTGAGGGTGATGCAGTGGTTGTTAGAGTGAAAACGATCATGTCACATTTTTAATTGTTGTTGTAATTGTGAACAGTCACTAAATGAACTGTTGTAAGTTGAGGACTACCTGTACTATGTCTGTTGATACAGTATTCCAAATTCCACATGAAAATGATGTCTTATCTATTCCCTAGGCCTTTTTAAGTGCAATTCTAATCTTTCTTTTCTGTATGGATATCAGGATGCATTATATATCCTGTGAAAATATCTATGTCTCTTTGTAAAAAAAACAAGTTCCATTCTGTTCTTGCTATATGGTAAGCTGATGGCACTGCCTATAATATGAATGATAAAAACTGAAATATAAAATATTTTCAGTGGGAAATAAACATATTTACTTAGGAGCTATTAAAATAGACATTTAGCAGTTTTTATTGTACGGTTTTATGCTGATCCCCACCTTGAGCTCATAACCCCATATTAAACCAAATTCCCTGCTTGATCAATATTATTTACAAATTTTTATTTCAGATTCAGATGGGCTCTGTTTCTTTAAATGGGGCCGCATTTTGTCATGTAATGCATATTTATTTATTTCATAGTTAATTATTAGTTTTACGTATGTATGTAGTCTGTTTTGCGTTGACTGGTAGCTGATGGTAATAAAAAATTATTAATACTTGTCTTAAGTTCAACTTAAACTTGCTTCATCTTTTTAATTTTATGTTTATTGCTACTATATTTGAATTGTACTACTACTATATTTACTTAACTGCTAGATATACATAAAACCAGTTTTTAAAATATTTTGATTAGAATTAGTTATGAAAAGCAGAGCACAGATTGGGTGAATAAGCAGCTCACCCCTTTGATAATAAGCTTTTCTTTTTAACTTTTTAGAGCTGTGTTATCAAGCGATACTGTGAGAAGAGATTTGTACCCAAATATCTTGCAACAATTGGCATTGATTATGGTGTTACCAAGTGAGTACCCTTCTTTTATATCCAGCAGTAGCTACAGAGAACAGCTCTTGAAAATATGTGAGCCAAGCTAAAAAGGTGTACATGCAAGAGATGGAAAATGCTCTTGATTGTTTATCCATCACAATCATTTGTAGTTTTTCGCTCTGCTATTGGTAGAAATAGCAGTTTTGAAGTTGATGATGATTCAATGCACATCCCGTTGAATATAACATGAGGCCAGTGAATGTTTCCCTGCAAGTATTTTCGTGTATGGCATGGGGAAATTATTAAAAATCTGATCAAGTCTTTACTGTGATGCTACTGTGTGCTATCTGATTCTTCTTGTACCTTCTCTTGTCGATTATTTAATAATTACATCTTGTCTTAAATTAATCCTGGATCTTTTTCCTCTGTTTTTAATGACTATACCAATGCTTAACTCTATTAGTGGCACAACTGTTGTATTGCGATGCTTATTAATGTTAGCTTAATAACAGCAAGAAGATTCTTTAGAGTGCCCATACTTCCATCTTAGGACTCTTTTCCTTTTAGAGTGCAAATTAGAGACCGAGAAATCAAAGTGAATATCTTTGACATGGCTGGACACTCCTTCTTTTACGAGGTAAGAAAGGTGATCGCTTTTCAGCAATGAGGACCCAACAAATTATGCAAAAAGATGCTAAAATACTGTGCACTAGAGTTCAGACAGTACACTAAATCATCAGGACCCTTTGGTCTTAGTCTAATGTGTGGACTGTGGAATCACACATTAGACTGTGGGATATTAAATCATGATTTGTAATTTAGGTTTGGTAATCATATTATACAAACTTGGCCTGGTGACTATTTCTGATTTTACCCAGTCCATGACTTGAAGTAAAGTTTATTTATGAATCCCTTCTCTGGATTTTTTGCCCCCCTTTTATAGTAATTGCACTGAGTCTGTCTACTAGCAGAAAAGAAGAATGAATGATTAAACTGCAGTTGGTGGTGGTCATAGCATGCAAGTACACTTTATTTGTTAAAATAATCACTGAACTACAGCCACATAATCTGTACATTACACCAAAATTGTATCTAAGATTTTTTTTACTGAACTCTTTATCACCACTGTGTCAGTTATAGTGATGTAATAATTAACTGGCTTTTGTCAACTAATGCATGCTAAATGGAAAATGTTTGTATCCTTGCACATTATCCAAATAGGTATATTTATATATTGCAAACTTTGGCTTGTTCAGATGTAATGCACATATTATATTATTTTCTGCAGTTGCACATAAATGGTCAGAAATTTGCCCAATTTAAGCCGATGTGCTGCTTATTTATAGTTTGAGTCACTTTTCTAGAGCTGTCTCTTGGTGTGTTAAATTCACCTGCATTATTTCTGCCTTAAATTAGGTTCGCAATGAATTTTACAAGGACACTCAGGGTGTAATCCTAGTGTATGATGTTGGGCAAAAGGAATCATTTGATGCCCTTGACTTATGGCTTGCTGAGATGAAACAAGAACTTGGACCACATGGAAACATGGAAAACATTGTTTTCGTGATTTGTGCCAATAAGGTAAAGGCTGGCATAGAAAGCTCATGTTTGTTAAATGCTTAAAGGGTTTAGGGTAGATAAAGGGGCATGTAAATAATTAGTCAGCATTGCGCTATTCTCTCATTTTTGTTTCAGATTGATTGTGGCAAGTTGCGCTGTGTAGATGAAAGTGAAGGGCGACTGTGGGCAGAAAGCAGAGGCTTTCTTTATTTTGAAACTTCTGCACAGACTGGAGAAGGAATTAATGAAATGTTCCAGGTAAAATCTACAGTGCAAAATAGGGCAGTCTTCCTGCATCTTTTTCCCCCCCTTGAAGTGTGATGATTTGTGCTTTGTAATCTAGACATCCTTGACTGAATTCTTCCTTATGGGAATTTGCTTCCTCTCTAATACGTTTTTGAAAGCAACTATTTTGTTTTCTTTTGCAAATCTTCATCTTCTTACACAAAATGAAATGCTGTTGATTTTTTCCACTTTAAACGTGGTTAGTTTGACTTGCTGCAAGTCAAGTGAAACATTGTTTGGGGCATGAATAAAATATGCCAGAAATATTTCCAGTCGTAAATGCAGATGCTTTTCTGTCATTTTTCAGTTTTCATTCTTAAGACATTATTGGTAAAATGTTTTATATTTCCTTGTTCCTTTCTGAAACCAGGGATACCTTTTCTTGACTTGGAGAGGAAATGTCCTCATCTTTCACTGGCAAATTCTCATTTATTCTCTCTGCATATGCAATGTTCTCCCTCGTTTTCCAAGGAATTTTAAATTAATTATCTATCTCCCTTTAGTCTTTGAAATAGAGCACAGTTTTAAAAAAAGCAAGAACAAGTAGTGCAAGAGATTGTTTCAGTATACAAGAATTAATCTAATGGATGATCTGAAGGCACATGGCACAGTATTCCAATTGAAAATAAATCAAGGAAGCACTAAAGTGGAGTAGGCACGCTGTAATTGTAAGCTTTTGCACTATTTGAAGATTTTCTGGTTCTAAGATTAAAAATCATACTGTCCCTATAGGTCATTTTCTTTCTCAAGATTTCTGAATTTGAGAGAATAGAATGAGCTTTTAAAGGCAAATAAAATGATTTGGATTTTGATCTGCTTAATGAAATAAAGATTACTGAGCAATGGGCACATATAACTTTGTCTTGTCTGTGCTTGCAGACTTTCTACTCGGCTATTGTTGACTTATGTGATAATGGTGGAAAGCGCCCCACAACTGGCACAAGCAACAGTTTCACCAAGGAGCAAGTGGACACCATCCGGAGGATTCGCAACAGCAAGGATAGCTGGGATATGTTGGGTGTCAAACCAGGAGCTTCAAGGTAATGAAGGACCCAACTATTACAGAATAAATCATCTGTGCTGATATAGAAATGAGCAAGATAAGAGTTGGACTGGAGGGAATGGGATGATGAAGCTCTGAATTTAGAAAATATAAGGTAAAATATCTACTAATTTAAGGCAAGTGTTTATGTATAGCATACAGTAGGAGACTTTTAGGCCAGAATGCATCTTCACAACAACCAGCTATTTACTCTAGGCCTCATTTTTTCCTGTCTGACTCCTAATGGATATAAACAGCTCCAGTGTCCATTGACCACGTCAGTTAGGCATTGTTCATGATCCAGCTCTTGTGAACTGAGAATGGAGGGAGTACTGTCTATGTCAAGAAATGCTTTCTGAAACTATGGTTATTCTGTGTCTGGAGTTAAAAGCCTAGAGCAGTGCAGGAGATGAAGCTATAATGGTCCTTCAAGTTCTTAATTTAACTATAAATTCAGTTTTATTTTTCTATTTGATTAGAATTCTATTTACTTGGTGAACTGAAATTAATAACAATTGTAATTCTTCTGTTGGTGTCATTTAAATAGCTTTAGTACTTAGGTAAACTTCAGTAGTTGAAAGACTTTCATTTTAAGATTTATCGTTCTATAAATAGACTCCATTACATTGCACTCTTCTATTATCTCTCTCTCTCTTGCTCTGCAGGGATGAAGTAAACAAGGCCTATCGAAAGTTGGCAGTGCTCCTCCACCCAGATAAGTGTATGGCTCCAGGCAGTGAGGACGCCTTCAAGGCTGTGGTCAATGCACGGACTGCCTTGTTAAAAAATATCAAGTAAAACACAAGAAGATGTGGCTTTCACCAGTAGCAAGTGATATGCCTATTCTGAGAGAGGCATCAAGAATTGCCTCCTGCAAAAGACAAAGGAAGCAAGTCACAGAAAATCCCTAAAGGCAATTTTCCTTCATCATTTACTCTCAAAGCAGTTTTCTGTTCTACTACGAATAGGTCAAAATAGGAGACTTCTCTGAGGTGGACTTCCAAACCCATCTGAATACCTCAGGAAGAGTAACAACGGTAATATCCTTTCTTTTCCCCTGCAGAAAAGTTGGCCATGGACTGAGATGACTCTAAAATATGTTACTTCTATTTAAACCACTTATTTCAATATTGCACATTATTTTCCTCAAAATCAATGCTGATATCCAGCCTCTAATTAAGCACTTTGTTGTTCCTCTTTGTCCCACAGTGGAAATACTTTATCCATTCATATTCTTTAAACCACTTCATTACTAAGTGGTTAAAGTATTCCTGCTTTTTCAAATAAAAATGGGAAAAATAATAGCATAATAGTCGGGCTCAAAGTACTAGTAGCACTATGAGTTGTTGATGGGACAGGCAGTACTTCCTACAAAATGAGTTAGGTGGTAAGTTGATTTGCTCGTTATTTGAATCATATTGTTTATAGGAGTGTATACTTTGAGCCTTCCTAGACCCAGCAAGGAATATAATAAGATGAAGGATTCAATCACACAGAAGCTTAATTTATCTTAATTTGCTCTCCCTTCCTCCCTAATTGTAAATTAAATGAGGGAAGAAGGGAAGGGAAAAAGGAAAAGCTAACTGTGTACTCAAGTATAATTAAAAGGGCCCTGAATTTAAAGAGTCTAGGTGAAACAACTCAGTGCAGCTTGTCGATTTCATAACTGGTACTAACATATTTATTTATTTATCAGATTTATATGTCATTGTTGTGATGAGCCGTGGGGACGCAGTGGTTAGAATGCAGTACTGCAGCCTACTTCTGCTGACTGCAGGCCACTGTGCTGACTATCAGCTGACTGCAATTTGGCAGTTCAAATCTCACCGGCTTCACGTTGACTCAGCCTTCCATCCTTCCGAGGTGGGTAAAATGAGGACCCAGATTGTTAGGGGCAATATGCTGACTCGGTAAACCGCTTGGAGAGGGCTGTAAAACACTGAAGCGGTATATAAGTCTAACTGCTATTGCTATTTGTGAAATGAGTTCACTTGTTTTCAGAGAAAAGATCTTAAGTTTCTATTAAGCTATTTTCTGAACAGCTTACATACTTGTCCTAGAAATAGACCTAAAAGCATACAAACAAATAATTTCCTACCTAGGGATGATACAATAATTCCATAGAAATAACACCATTACCCCAATTACAAAAAGGAACAATATTCATAGCATATTCATAGTTTTTTTTTTCTAAAATTAAATGGGCATTAAGTTAGGGGTGGGGTGGGGTGAGGTGTGATGCTATTCCAAAGAAAGAAATGAAGAAAACTCAGCTGTATTGATAAGTGCTTCTTGGAATATTTGTTGAAAGAATATTCAGGAAAAAGGATAACTATTAAGCAATACTTTTAACTCTTTTCTGGAATTGGTGCTGGCCTGTAGGCCATAGAAATGGTTTTTCAGCTACCTAGAATACAGCCTCTGTCATGGAATTTCTCCAAAACTGATCTAATTTAGGATACAAATTATCGAAATTATTTACCTTTCTAAGGATCACAACATATTACCTGGCAAAAGAGAAAGAATGCCTTATGAACAAATGGGTGAGTTGCCAAACCGCCCCCCCCCCTTCTTCAGTAGGAAGAGTATATAGTAGTCCCAAATACTGAAGATCTTAGACTTCATTAAACTAAAATTTAGTGAACTTTTGGAAAACAATTCTTTTATATGTAGTGCATTGAAAAATATGAGTGCAATTACGTCTTAGTCATTTAACTGATTTTTCCAATGGTCAGATGTAACATCGCAGTTGTGATGTGCAGTCATATATTATCCTCCACCTAGCAGCTACTGCTCCTTAGAACATCTCAAAATAATACAAGAAGTTAAGATGGCGGTGTGCCTTGATCACTCTGTGATTCTGTTTATCCAGTTCCCTGTGGAGGACCATAGGATTGGCAACTGTATTGCATTGTATATTGGAAGATATGGGAGGGACACTTCTTTGGGACTGTGTTAAGAGGGCAGCAGTTGGACTGCAAGTACATATTAATTGAGAAAATCAGCATCAGATCACCAAAAGGTTCCTGTTTTGAGAATTTTCCTCCGCATGCCTTCTATGAGTTCTTTGAGCCAAGGAAAGAGACCGCATTCTCAGGATGGACATGGAGAAGTCCTGCAAGGCTGCCTTATAAGAAAAGTATCACTTGTATGAAAGCTGTCGAGCCTTTTGATCAAAATACAGAAGTAAGACTCTTCACAGCCAAAATAAAGCATACCCTGGCATGTATGAATATAAAATATGCATTGCTCTTTGTGTGTGTTTATGTGCACTTTAAGCCTTGGTTGTGTGAGCTGATTGGTTTCTGTGCATTTCTCCAATAATGTTCCTTTGTTTCCTGTCTTCTAGAAGTGATATTTAGTCTCCTGGTTGCTGTGAGTGTTCTGTAATGTCAAATTCCTTTAAGCTACTGGATATGCTGTAAATTCATAAATTGCACTTTTTTGCGATCTGGTTTTGTCTATAATGTTTTACATCATTAATGTCCAACTGTGTCTTAAGAAGCAACTCTTGATAAGCTCTTCATTCTTGAAATTCCATGACTAGTTCTCCACCCTACTGTACTTATAGCTTATCAAATGTAACAGTTCAGGTATATAAGAGGCTGCAGGCCTTTCTTGGAAAGCCTGGACCCCTCTTTCTCCTGTTTGTAAATACAGGGTTACTTCAAAGAATAGGTATCCTTGAGAATGAGATTTAAGAAACTGACCACTTCTCTTTACAAGACAATTTAATTTTATTTATTTTATTTATTTATTTGTCAAGCAATTATAAGATAATATGTATAAATATAAACATAGTTATGAATACATGAAATGGATACATATAAGAAAAATAAAAAGAAACAATAGGACAGGGATGGTAGGCATGTTGGTGCATTTATGCACGCCCCCTACAGACCTCTTAGGAAAGGGGTGAGGTCCATAGTAGACAGTCTTAAGGTTAAAGTTTTTGGGGTTTGGGGGAAGAAACCACAGAGTCAGGTAGAGTATTCCAGACATTGACCACTCTGTTGCTGAAGTCATTTTTCCTGCAATCAAGTTTGGTGCGGTTTACCTTGAGTTTGTATCTATTGTGTGCTCTTGTATTGTTATGGTTGAAGCTGAAGTATTCATTGACAGGTAAGTCATTGCAATGTATGATTTTATATACCATACTTAGATCAGACCGAAGATGGCGAAATTCAAGGTTCTCTAGATCTAGAATTTCAAGTCTGGTGGCATAAGGTATTCTGCAAAAGGAGAGGAGTGGAGAATTCTTGTGAAATATTCCTGGACTTTCTCAACTGTATTAATATCAAATACGTAATGCGGGTTCCAGACTGATGAGCTGTATTCAAGTATTGGTCGAGCAAACGTTTTGTATGCTCTAGTTCAGGGGTCGCCAACCTTTTGGACCACAGGGACCACCAAACTCATAATTTTAGATCCTAGGGACCACTAACCGGTTCTGTGGGCATGGCCTAATTTGTGGGTGTGCTTGGTGGTCATGTGACTGGCTGGGCATGGATTGTATGTAAATGTTATAAATATTTATATAAATATTGAATTTTTTTATTTAAAAAAGAGCAACTTTTACCCAAAATCAGGCAAAGCAGGCAAATTGAGTTGCTCACAGAATAATAGATTCATTCAGGGATCTATCTGTCTGCCATTGGCTAGCTCAGTCTGTCACATATTTGTCTTCCCCAAACCCCAAAAACTTTAACCTTAGAATGTCTACTATTGACCTCACCCCTTTCCTAAGAGGTCTGTAGGGGGCGTGCATAAGCGCACCAACGTGCCTACCGTCCCTGTCCTATTGTTTCTCTTATTCTTCTTTTATTTTTCTTATATGTACCCATTTCATGTATTCACAACTATGTATACACTTATACTTATTATCTTGTAAACAATTGGCAAATCAAATAAATAAAAAAATAAAAAATAAACATAAAATTTGCTTGCAAGCAAACTCATAAAATTAACTCACAACACACCATGCATGTAAATATTGATTTTTTTATTTTTTTAAAAAAGAGCAACTTTTACCCAAAATCAGGCAAAGCAGGCAGATTGAGTTGCTCACAGAATCATTCAGTGATCTATCTATCTGCCATCAGCTAGCTCAGTCTCTCAAATTTGCTTGCCGTGAGTCTGCACTGATTTTGCTTGTAAGCAAACCTTCAGTCCTAAGGGAGGTTCGGCTGTGCTGAACCGAAGATCTAAAGACTAGCTAGAAAGCAAGAAATCCAACCATTTCCTGCTTCCTAGCTAATCTAAATCTCCCAGCACAGCAGAACAGATGATGGTTGGAAAAGGAAAAATAGCAATTTAGCAGGCAAGTTTACCAGGTAAGGAGTGAGTGGGCGGGGAGGGTTCCCGTGGGCCATGTGGGTGGCACAGCCTTATGTTTCTGCACAGCCTGGATTAATTGCTTTGTGGGGGTGCTCTGGGGGTGAGATTTCTCACGGCTTACCAGTGGGCCATGGCCCACCGGTTGGCGACCGCTGCTCTAGTTAGTAGTGTGATATTACGAGAGAAAAAGCTACATAGGATTAGGTTAACAACTCTTAATGCCTTTTTGGCTATGTAGTTACAGTGGGCTCTACCACTTGGATCATTAGAGATTAGTACTCCAAGGTCCTTGACAGAGTTTGGATCATCAACAAGGTCTTGGCTATTCAGCTTGTATTTTTTCTGATTTTTTTTCTGCCAATATGTAAGACAGCATTTATTTGTTGAGATTTGAAGTTGCCATTTGATTGACCATTCTGATACATAGTCATGGTCATTTTGAAGGGTAGCAGTATTGTCTGTGGTGTTGAATAGCTTTACATCATCAGCGAAGAGAACGCAGTTGCTCTTGATATGATCACAGAGGTCATTTAT